TATAGAGCAAGTATTTTAAATATAATAATTAATAAACAATTTACTAAGAAAGTATTATGAAAAACTATATCTATATATTAAGTGATAAAATAATGTTTAGGTAGATGATATATAGCATTTATAAAATATCTGATATTCAATTAAATAAACTAATTTTATTAAATAATGTTAATAATAAAAATTTAAAAAATAATATTTAATTATATATAGAGCAAGTATTTTAAATATAATAATTAATAAACAATTTACTAAGAAAGTATTATGAAAAACTATATCTATATAGTAGTATTCATCAAAAAAAATTAAAAAACAATATTCTTGAACTTGGAACTAAAATAGTCATTATACTAGATCATGATACAAATTCACAAACTCAAAAATAAAAATTACAACTAGTATTTTTATAGCAAAAAATTTTTAAGAGATTAGTATTAAATAATTATATATAATTATTGAAATTAAGAGAAAAGATATACTAGTTCTTGTTATAAGAGTAAAAACTATATAATATAGTTTTAATTTTTTTTTTAAAAAAAAAACAAGCTATACAAATTTAATATCTTAGTTTTCATAATATAAAACTTTTAACAGATCTGGCTAGTTAGTTTTTCTTTTTTAGACTTAACTGAGTTATAAAAATTAATTAATTAATTTTATATAGTCTAATCTGAATTTATATATATATTTTTTACTAGATCTTTTTTTTTTAAAAATTTTTTTACTGATCTAATTCAGCTTAATCTAGCTCATATATATTTTAATTTTTTTTTAAAAAAAAATGATTTTTTTTTAAATTAGAATTTTTTTTAGAATATTTTCTTTTTTAAATTAGAATTCTTTTTAAATAATTCTTTAGAATTTTAATTTTTATAAAATTGATTTTTTAAAAAATTTGTTCTTAAAAATATAAAAATATAAAAAAATTTAAATTTTTTTATATAACAACTCTATATTTAAATACAAAATATATTTATCTATTACAATTAAATATAAATTTTTATTTTAAATTATAAATAAAAAAATCTTTATATATAACAAGTAATTAACTATATTTTAACATAATTTAATATACTTAGATATAAGAAAATTATATATTTTTTTTGATCAAAGTATATTCTTTTTTCTAATTATCATATTTTTAGTTAAAATAAAAGTTTCTAAGTAGAGAAAATAAGCTAAGTATAGTTTGATGCAATTCAATATACTTAGATATAAGAAAATTATCTTTTTTTTTTTAATTAAAGTATATTTCTAGTTAAGCTCTTTTTTTTTTATTACTATATTTCTAGTTATAGTTAAGCTCTTTTTTTCTGATTATTATATTCTCAGTTATTCAAACTAAGAGTTTCTAAGTAGAAAAAATATATTAAGTATAGTTTAATATAATTTAATAGACTTAAATATGAGAAAATTATTTTTTTTATTTAAGTATATTTTTAGTCATAATTAAGTACTCTTTTTTTCTTTATTACTATATTTCTAGTTATAATCAAGAGTTTCTAAATAGAGAAAATAGACTAAATATTGTTTAGTATAATTCAAAGCATTTAGATATGAGAAAATTACTATTTTTTTAATCTAAACACATTTTAGTTATAATTAAGTTTTTTTTGATTACTATATTTCTGATTATAACCAAAAGTTTTCTAAGCAGTGAAAATAGATTAATATAGTTTTGCATAATTTAATACACTTAGATATAAGAAAATTACTTTTTTTTAATCTAAAAACTATAGTTAACTCTTTTTTTTTATTACTATATTCTTAATTATAATCAAGAGTTCTTGAATAGAAAAAATAGACTAAGTATAGTTTAGTACAATTTAATATATTTAGATATAAGAAATTACTTTTTTTTTTTGATCTAAGTACTATGTTTCTAATCATAGTCAGATTTCTTTTTCTTGATTAATATATTTCTAATTATAACTAAACTAAGAGCTCCTAAGTAGAAAAAGTATACTAACTATAGTTTAATATAATTCAATATATTTAGATATGATAAAATTACTTTTTTTTGATTTAAATATATTCTAGTCATAGTCAAACTTCTTTTTTTTGATTACTATATTTCTAGTCATAATTAAAAGTTTTTTGAGTAGAAAAAATAAATTAAGTATAATTTAGTATAATTCAATATACTTATATTTTAGAAAATATCTTTTTTTTGATCTAAGTATTATATTCTAATTATAGCTAACTTTTTTTTGATTACTATATTTCTGATTATAACTAAGAGTTTTCTGAGTAGAAAAAATAGACTAAGTATAGTTTAGCAAAATTCAATATACTTAAATATAAAAAATTCATATTTTTTTTAATCTAAATACTATATTTCTAGTTATAATTAAGTTTCTTTTTTCTAATTACTATATTCTAGTTATAACTAAGAGTTTCTAAATAGAGAAAATAGACTAAGAATAATTTGATACAATTTAATATATTTAGATATAAGAAAATTATCTTTTTTTTGATTTAAGCATATTCTGGTCACAGTCAAGACCTTTTTTTAATTATTATATTACTGGTCATAACCAAGATTTTTCTAAGTAAAGAAAATAGTTTAGCACAATTCAATATACTTAAATATAAAAAAATTACTTTTTTTTTGATCTAAATATTATAGTTAACTCCTTTTTTTGATTACTATATTTTTAGTTATAACTAAAAGTTTCTGAATAGAAAAAAATAAGTTAAGCATAGTTTGGTGCAATTCAATATATTTAGATATGAGAAAATTACTTTTTTTTTGATCAAAGCATATTCTAGTTATAGTAAAACAACTTCTTTTTAATTACTATGTTTCTAATTATAACTAAGAGTTTCTTAAGCTAAGAAAATAAACTAGACATAGTTTAGTGCAATTTAATATATTTAGATATGAGAAAATTATTTTTATTTTATTTTATTATTATTATGCTTCTAGAAGTTTCTGAGTAGAGAAAATAGACTAACATAGTTTAGTGCAATTTAATATACTTAGATATGAGAAAACTACTTTTTTTTTTTTAATCAAAACATGTTCTAGTTATAATCAAACTTCTTTTTTATATTACTATATTTCTAATTATAACCAAAAATTTCTGAATAGAAAAATAGCTAAATATTGTTTAGTGCAATTAAATATACTAGATACCTTTTTTTTGGTTAAAATGCATTCTCAGTTATATCCTAAAGCAAAGAAAATAGTAAGTATAGTTATGAAAAAATTACAGTAATACCACTTTTTTTTTAATTATATTTTTAATTATAACTAAATTTATGAATAGTAAAAATAGTAAGTATAGTTTTGTATAATTCAATATCTAGCAATATAAGAAAATTACTATTTTTTTTTTTTTTTTAATCACCAGTTTCACAGTCATAAACAAGTTTTAAAGAAAAAGGTTGTATGCTTTCACTATTTAGTAATTGACTTTTTTATACTATCACTAACTTTTTTGCTCACCATATATTTAGTAGGCTATAGTTAAAGAACTTTACGTAAAGAAATTTGTAAGCAATTTAAACTACTAGGTTAAAAAACTAAAGTTCTTGAGCAAATAGTTTTCAACTTACTATTCTAATAATAACTTATTTTTAAATTTGGGCTAGGAGCTAGAAAAAGGGCCGAAAATGATAATTTTTCAAATAAGTTTTTTTTACATAAATCAATTTAAAATTAAATTAGTATCATTTTTCACTTAAGTTACAAAAGTAGTTGTATTAATAAAATTTTGCAGTATAGCTTTTTAAAGTTTGCATTTTTTTATAATTTATTATAAGATTTAAATATAAAAATTGATCTTTTTTTTTGTCATTTTCGGCCTTTTCTCCAGCACCTAGCCCATTTATTCTAATTTATTCGTGGTTTAGATATAATCAATCTTTTTTTTTCAACAAATAGCAACCTTTTATTGTAAAGTACCTTATTTGACATATTTGATGCAACCAATCTTGGAAAATATATGGGGGGCCCACAGCAAAAGGATACTTTGGGATGATCACATGATCATGAGAAAATCGATTAATTTATCACGTAATAATCATAAATTTTAAAATAGTTTTCGTTATTAGTTATTATGCTTAAACCATAAAGCCTATTAATAAAATTTTTTTTAAATTTAATAAAAATTTACTACAAACATAAATAATACTGCAAACATATTTAATTAGAAAGCGAAATAATGATTTGCTTAATAAAAAAGTTTGTTTTTTATATAATAAAATTATCTTTCAAATATTCTTAAAAAATTTCTTTACGTAATTAATTTATCATCACAATCGATATATTTAAATCTTTTTTTATTAAAAAAATGTTTTTAGTGATATTTTACACTTATGACAAAATTCTTATATATTCAAAAAAAACTTCTTACTAATAAACTTTATAATTTAAAATTAGCGAAGTAATGTATAAATTTTATGTTTCAGATAAATTTTCGTCGATTCTATTAGGTTTAGGGCAAGTAATATCACAGAAGGGAATATCTACATAGGGTACAATTTCCTTATATAGTTCTTCCTGTCTTTTTAAAGAAAGCGGTCTAGTACTAATTATAGGAAGTAATGTATTAACATCAAAAATGAAAGAGTGAATCGTATTACTTTTGTACTCATCTTCTATTTTGTCCTTATAAAAAACTATTCCAAGGTTTTGAGAAGTAAAATTAAAGTGATGATATTTGTGAATGTTGGGTAATTTTTAAATGTCTCAAAATATTTTTTAAAATTATAATACTGAAAGCCTTCTCCATCTAAATAGCGCTGAGCAACATTAAAATTATTCATAGTCGAATGATTAATAATTGAAACTACATTATCTAGAGTATTTACTTTACTTTTTCGATAAAGAACTTTAATAAAGCCGAAACAACCATTACAAATAAATTTTGTATGTCCCGGTATCATAAAATTTAATTCGATTTCATCATATATACCACAATCAATTAACCACGAATAAAAGAATAATGAGTAATTATTCTTATTTTGACCTGTGCAATTATCACATGTAACAATTAGTTTTTTTTCTCCACGATTATATTTTTGAATTGCAAGCTACACCAAGTTTAAAGTACAGTTTACTCCCTTTCCTTGTTTACCATCATTAGGCATTTCAGCCTCATCAATTACATAATTTGTTTGCTGTGTATTAGGATAATTTCTGGTATTACAAACGCCAAACAGATGTACTTTTCATGCGCTTTTAAAAAACAAAGACCTAATTTGTTGAGGCGAGTAGGGGACTTGTACATTTTGAGACTAATCATATGCAATGTAAGCACAACCATCGAATGTTTTAAATAATATAGGAGCTTCAGTAAGGTTTGGGTTACGTTTACCATCTTCAACTGCACTTATTATATTGTTATTATAGTAATCACGTTCTTGTTGTGCACGGTTCAAATGAGCTATATAACTTTCCGTAAGTTCTACTTTTTTTTCATATTGTGTAGCATGCTGAATGTCTATTTTCATTGTTTCACAAGTTTCACACAAATCGAATTTTGGAGACATAAATTGAAGTGATAGTATTAAAGCTTTCCAGATATTGATAAAGATAAATTCAGCTATAACACGAGTATCTTCTCCATGCTTATCTTTATAAGCCCGTACATAATCATGATATACTGAAGCATAAGTGTAGCTAGTTGGAATAAATACAATTGGCATAGAAATTTTACTGAAATGTCGTCCAGGCGAAGGCATTCCATATATATTAGAGTAATTTTTTAAAAATTGATAAACATCACATGCTATATCATAACTCAACTCAATACGATTCATATTTTTTGGAGCTCTACTAGTATTACCATGTACACATTCTTCGAGACCATATTCTCAAAAATGTTTAATTATATTTTCTAAATACTTTTGACTAATACTAACAAGAGCTAAATATATATCATGACAAATTACAATATCATTATTATAACAATAATTATAGTGCCAACGCTGTCTATTATTACTAGTTGTCCTTTTTGTATTTTCTTTTTTTTGAAAAGCTAATAATTGTCCTTTAATAACCATATCTCACATTTTTTTTTCTAAGCTTTCAAATTCAGACTGACGTTTAAGAAATTGATCATATCCGATTTTTTCAAAGCAAGGTTGTTTAGTAGAATGACATAAACATTTTTTTTTTTCAAAAAATTTTTTTATTTCTGATTTTAATTCATTATATATTTTGTCTTCAATATAATTGTCAGGAATATCTATGAACTCTAATTTATTTAATTTATTTAAATTAAGATTATCATCAATATCGGGTAATTCATCGTTTAATTTTTCATTGTCTAATTCTTCATCTTCCAATTCTTCATCACTTAATTCTTCATTGTCTAATTTTTCATTATCTTTTTCATTTTCTGAATCTGAATGTTCAACAAAAAAAATGTTGTCTAAATCTTTTAAAGATGTTAAAATAATATCATTTACATCATTATCGTTGGAACGTATGTTATATTCCATATATACTTGCTGGCAAAATGGCAAAACCCGGACAAATTCAAAAAAACAATTGATACATATTTATAAAAAATTGAATCAAAAAAAATAGTCTTGAAATGTTGCTAATATATTATATAATTATAAGAATATACGTAAAATTTTTGAGATATGAATTTGGTCAGAGTTTGGGATTTGGACGCGGACAAACTAATTTTATAATAGTTTGGAATTTTGCCAACAAGTATATTTACATATCGAGACTCTTATTGTTATCATTAACGACTTATCAATGTAATCTAAAGTATCGTGCATAGTGATTGCAGATTTCTAACGAAAATGTCTCCATAGATTAGCCTAATTATCAAATAATCATTATGAATCTTTGTGATTTTATATGCATGCATGTTTGTACAATTATATTATCGTAATAGCTGAACAGATTTAAAGATAACGATAATAAATATTTGGCATTTGGGATTTAAGACGAACGGGATTTGTGATTTGTCCGGGTTTGAGATTTGAGATGGAATTTAGGGTTTGTCCAGGTTTGGGATTTGGGATTTGGGATGGGATTTGGGATTTGTTCCGAGTTTGGGATTTGGGATTTGGGATGGGATTTGGGATTTGTCTGAGTTTGGGATTTGTCCAGTTTTGGGATTTGGGATTTGGGATGAGATTTGGGATTTGGGATAGGATTTGGGATTTGGCCGGAATTTGGGATTTGGGATTTGGAATTGGGATTTGTACAGTTTTGCCATATAAGATATTTAAAATTAACTGGACAATCCTATTTGTCTATGGACAAATCCCAAATCCCAAAAGTTTGTCCAGCAAGTATACCCATATGCAATTATAATAAAATTCCTTCAGCAATGTAAGCCACCTTAATAATAAAAAAAAAAAAAAATAAATAAACTGTCTCTTTAGAGATGAGTATGATTCTTTAATAATATAAGAATTATACCTTTCTCTTTGACACTGCTTCTTAAAGTCTCTAGATAGCTATGTCTCTGTTATAGTTAGTGTATAAGAAGGCTTAGAATATACTTTCTGTAATACTATTTAAACTAGCTAGCTCGTTACAGATCTATTTATTCAAAATAGCTTAGATTCTCTTAGAATATATTGTATCTAACACATTGTAGATATTGCAAAGCTAGTTAACCTTGAAGTATATTTACTAAAGTAGTCTATACCTATTTTACAGATTTACTTAGCTTAGACCCTTGTAAATATTTGTACAACTCTAGTTCCTACTATAGCTTTTACTAGTTTTGTATATTCTATTTTCTTAGATATTTCACAAAGCAGATTCTCCCAATTCAGTTAGCTATCAAGTCAGGTTAGTATTACTAATACTCTCTGTAGAACAGATTTATGCATATTTAACTCAATTTGTATCTTTTAATAATAGTTTTCTTTTTAAATTAAGCATTAACTAGTATGACTATTGAAAGCTATACTATTTTACTAACTCAGAATTTCAACTATGCAGATCTTTTGCTCATAGATCTTATCAATTTATTTATATAATATTATGTCTCTTCAAATGCCTCATCAAACTTTTAATATCTGAATAATATTAGTACAATGTGATTTACAGAGTTACAACTTCAGAAACAGATAGAGTTTACTATAAGTTAGATATAAAGGTCTAAGTAATTATTCAATTTATTAATAGTAGAATTTGAATCTCAGACCTTTTGCATAGCAGTCTAGCAAACTAAACACTATACTAAGATTATCAGACCTTATCTGCTCAAATTATTAATATTTTTTTGAAAGATTAAATATTAATAAAGAGAGAAAAGATCACTATAACAAATCACATATAGATATCTATAAGATAACAAAGTGAGTTAATACTTAAAAAATTATAGATTATATATATAGAGTGCAGATTACTTTATAACTATATATTTTTTTTTTACCTTTTAGCAGGTTATACCAACACTTTATTTGTATAATATCTTTAACAAAAGACTAATTAACATATATAGTTATAAAGTAATCTATACTCTATATATCTAATCTACAATTTTTTAAA